TTTTGTATACCAAATTCTGAACAGTTATTAGTATCTTCATATACTTTTAATTGTTGCCTCTTTTGTAATTGCAAATTGTCTTAAATCTTTTGTTAAGTTTTGTAAAAATGCCATACTAACTTAGCCAAAATACAGTAACTTGTTTGGGTTACACAAAGTATTCAATAGCTATGGTTGCTCTAGTTACCTATTATCTTTAAAGAAGTAGAAATAGGATAACACTGGATATCCTCCATATTATGATATTCTACATAATGAAAATCTAGCAACCTGTATTTGTCTAGGCTACAGGCCTACAATTAGATGCGAAATTCCTTAATTATTTTTGGATCTGATAAATAATTGCTTAGATGCAAAACCTCAAAACAGACTAACTGCTGAAGAACTAGCTAATACGTTGGGTCAATTTTTTGAATCCAGAAGATGATAACTACAAGATCATAATAGAGTATGCAAAAGAGGGAAGTCTCAGAAATTATTAGATAATAAATATGGTAAATTAGATTGGGCTTCTAAAGTAGCAAACTTATACAGTATTACATAGCTGATTGGCTTAATATTATTTATGAAACCTATAAAGATTTTTTTTCTGATAATATAGTTAATCAAATTATATTTAGTTCTTATATTACTGATTTTGGTTTATGTAGGCCAGTGTCACAAGACTCAAATTCTAAATGACTTTTAGTTGTATTTCCATATATTGCAGTACTGTATATAAATGGAAAGGAATACACTCAAAAATCAGATATTTATTTTTTCTGAATAATTATATCAGAAGTTTTTACTAAATATCCTCCATATCATAATATTTCACACAATGAAGATTTAGCAATACATATTTATCTAGATTACAGGCTTACAATTAAATGCGAAGTTCCTCAATTACTTTTGGATCTGATGATTAAATGCTTAGATGCAAAACTTCAAAACAGACCAACTGCTGAAGAACTAGCTAATACGTTGGATCAATTTTTGAACCCAGAAGATGGTAACTACAGATGGTTATGGAGTACACAAAACAGAAAAGTTTCAGAAAATTATTAGATAGTAAATATGGTAAATTAGATTGGGCTTCTAAAGTAGCAAACTTAAATACTATTATATAGCAAATAGGCTTAATACAATTCATGAAGCTCATAAAGATTTTCTTCTAGCAATATAGTTAATCAAAATATGTTTAGTTCTTACATTACTGATTTTGGTTTATGTAGGCAAGAGTAGGATTAGATAGTAGCACAGAACTAGTGCAAGAATTAGAATCATAATTAGATAATTATGTGAGTCTAGCTTAATAATATAATAGAACTATCTAAAGCTTATATCATAACTAGTTATGTTAATTATTAGAATGATTCTACCACATCAATAGCCTAGCTGGGGGTTAAGTTAGATAGTATCACAGAATTAATGTAAGAGTTAGAGGTATATTAATATAGTTATGCGGGTTTTAAAAATTATAATTAGGTTGGTATTATATGACAAGGTAAGTAACATTTAAATTAGTATTAGATTGCAGAACAGATATTCATTATTAATAACATTCATGATATAATATGATTTTGTGTATTATGTAAATAAATATGATATATATATAACTAATAATACATATAATAATATATACTAACTAAAACATTAAAAAATTCAACTGTATAAAACTTTGGGAATACATCATTTATTTTTATAATTTATTTAGAATAATGTTAATCGTAGCAGGTTACAATATCACAATTGCAATATTGCAACCTGTAATATTGCATTATTTTTGTTACATATAAATTGGAGATTAAATAAAGTATATTGTTTGTTAGTGCAGAATAATAAATAATTATGCATATTAAAGGCGGATTATATATAAAGTTTTTTTTAAAAATTGTTTCATACTTTCTTACATAATTTTGAATTAGTATTGCATTACTTTAATACAAGTCATACATTCCAAGTCGTTGTACTAAACCCATAGCCATTTAAAAATTAGATTATACCTTATACACATTTCAGCTATTATAAAAACCCAGACTAATTAGTTACTAATATATGTTCTCAAGTGCTATGATAAGCCCATGACCGTTAAAGACGAATTACCTTTGAGAAAATCGATCCACACCTTCATACATACAGGATTCTATATTTATAACAAACTTTGTAAACACAATAGTCATAATTCTATTGCAACTCCTAGTACAATATATTAGAATATTCAGGTAGACCTTACATATCTTGGTCATTATAAAATCCAAACAGACTAATGTTATGCTAACTTAGTATAAAACATACATCCTCAAGTCATTAAGATAAACCCGTGATCATGTCAAATGAAATTTTAGAACCTTCATTTTTCAATTCAAATGCTTATATATATGAAGAAGATAGTTTGCTTATTAATTCTACATTAAAAAGCTAGTTAGTAATCATTGTTTTTTTTTTTTTTTTTTTTTTAGAATTTTTTGTGCTATTTGATCTTTTTTCTTCAACTAGTCAGCATCCTAATATTGACTATTTCACTGAAGAATTTATGCAATTAGAACAAGAGCAACAGCAGGATAACCAAGAATTTATATAATTAGCCACTGAACAACTAAGTGATAGTGAGTCTAACAGTGAGGAAACTAATGATCTTACAATTCAAGTTGGTGCTGAATTTCCTAATTAGGAATCTCTAGAAAATGCATTGAAAAGATATGAAACAGAAATTGGGTTCAAAGCTATAAAATTTCAAATAGAGCGTGATAACACTAGAGCCATAATTTGTCAGTACTTTGTATGTAAAAATTTCAAAGAGCCTAATCCTAAAAAAAAGATTGATAGTACAGATCATAGGTATAGAGAATTCAAAAAAGTTGGATGCCCGTGGCAACTTAATGTAGGATGCCAGAAAAATTCCAATACCATAATTATTAATAAGTTGAATGAAAAAATAGTCATTCTCTTGCACCACATCATAAAGAGTTTGCCACCAGTTTGTGTGCTCTTTCACAGGAAGTCCTTGATGAAATAAAATTTTTAACTCAGGATTGTGGTCTTGGATCAAAGGCCCAATGTAGGTATATTACAAAAAAATTTTAAGACCAGCTCTTATATAATTGTGATTTATACAATGCTATATGCAATATAAAAATCAAATGGGCAACAAAAGAGAAAATGACGTGGCGGATATAATAAAGTGGCTTATGGAATGACAAGAACAGGAACCAGGGTAGGCTATTTACATTAAGTTTAAAGGTGTTGACAATAATCTTTTACGGCTCTTTTGGATGTTACCAACACAAATAAAATTGTAGAAGCGCTATTATGATGTGGTGGTTAATGATAACACTGCAAAGACAAATGTATATAACATGTTATTAAATTTTTTTGTAATTGTTGATAATCATCATCAAATAAGAATCATAGCCCAATCACTTGTTTAGGATAAGACAGTTAGTTTCTATAAGTAGATTCTAGATTGTATATTAAAAGCAATTGACAATTTATCTCCAAAAGTGATCTTTACTGATGCGGATCTGGCTATAATTTCTGCCGTTAGTCAAGCTTTTCCTATAACAAAATATAATCATTGCATCTTTCATATTCAAAAAATATCGCAAAAAAATTGGCTCAAAAATTTGACAACTCTTATAATAAGTTTTTACAAAGCTGGTTTTGGTGTTGTAATAATCATGGTGTATCAGAACTGGAGTATTGCTGGGAGAGCTGTTAAATCAATATCCTATTGGTAAAAAATATTTGAATCAACTTTGGAAATCTTGACAATCATGGGCTAAAATATACATATTTACAACTTTTTGTGCTGGCATGCAAAGCACACAATGAGTAGAAAGTACAAATGGGCTTATTAAAGCTGAGGTTAATGCAAAAACATCACTTTTTAATTTGGTGAATCTATCCAAATGAAACTCGAATGTGAAGCACAGCATCAATGATTATCAGAGTATAAAAATTCATTACCTACCTGGGGGCTTCCAAGTATTCAAAGCACATTTTTTGAATCAGTTCAAGATGAAATCAAAAAATATTTAACATTGGAATCAGCTTCAGTTCAAAATACTCAAATATTTCAAAGAGTGTTATATCATGCATGCTTATACGAATTTTTAAATAATCTACATTGGTATAATTTTTACATTGTCAATTTTATTATTATTTTATTGAACTAACACTTTTTAATTAGTTTCCTGATGCTTATGAATATGCGGAAAGATACCTTGAAGATAATTATGATGCACTACAAGCTTCAATTGAAAATATTATGAATATGGTTAACTGTGACAATGTTCTTGAAGTTTGGCATATTTTTTATTTGATCAACATAATTATAATTACCCTCATTACATTGTTCTTTCAACTAATAATATACATCTTTGTACTTGTTTATATATTATTTCCAACGGTTTTTATTGCAGGCATTTTTTTACTGTTTTTAAAATGTCTCACAATGCCAAGTTTGACATTAATCTTATATCTAAACATTGGTATATCAATCCAATGCAAGCATCAAACTTTTCCATAATTCTGGGTACTATTGCTATGGAATTTGATACAAATGAAGAAATAAATCAAGTCATATATATTCATGGACCTGATGCAAATCGAGCTAGCATTTATGCTAGCATTAAACAAAAGCAAGAATATGCACATGGTTTTGGTGTAGCAAAAAGCAGATTAAAGTTTGCTCTTGAGAATGGATTGGTTAACAAATTTGTAGGACTAATAGCAAGATTTATTGAAAATCATAGTGGCGTTGCTATTAATGAGCGTATAACGGTTGACATTACTCAGATTGAAAATCCCAAAAAATTGAAGCACAAAGGATGTCCAAAATTGGTAAATTCTACACAGCAAAGTACTCTTCAAGATTTGAATACAAAATGAGAATTAAATTCAAGGCGAGATAAGTTGAGACCAATAACTGAATCAGAAGATGAATATATTGAAGAAGGTTCATCAAGAAAACGAGTTAATGAAATGAATAGTGAAAATTCTATGCCAAAAGTGGAGGGTCGTCATTGCGGTAATTGTTATAAAATTAGGCATTATGCTTCTACATTTAAAATTTCCTAAAAATAATTTTAGGTAGTAAGATATATGGTATATTAGATATGTTGTAACTAGTCATTATATCAAATTTTATTGTGACTCTAATTGTAGCAAGTTGCTTTATTATGTGATATGTATTGAGATGTTATGAGTTAGTATCTGTATGCAATTAGATGTATTAATTACATTTTCAAATTTTTGTAACATGAGATATGTTTATGTAGGCCTTTTTGTTTCTTTATATCATTCAAATAATTTTGGGATTACAATCTCTATTTTAGTAAATGTATCTTGTCAGAGTGGATTCATAATACGTATGCATTTATAGAGAATGATCTAAATACACAGTACTGTAGTAATGTTATTACTGTATTTATTATTATAATAGTGTATTAGCCAAGTAAAGCATGGCACCTTTCAAAAGCTGGGTTTGTACTAAAGCCACAGTATCTAATTGTTACCAAACTCGGTTAAAACAAATTAACATGTTTTTCTTGGGTTATACAGATTCATAAAATATTTCTGTTTTGAGGATTGTTAAAGCTATATCTAAGTTAGGGGTTATTACTGCTTTGATGTATTTGAGTAGTGCAATTTATGCAAAATGTAGATTAATATGTAATTGGATACGGATTTAGACGGCTTTCATTTTTGGAAAATTAGAATCGATACTGATCTTCCCCAGGTGTGCCAACAAAATTTTTACTCTCATGTCATATTCGACAAAATTCTTTAAGTTTGTTTATGTTAGGGTATATTCTATATTAAAGTTAAAGTTAGGAGTTCTAATAGTAAAATTGCTTAAAGAAACTTTTTATTAATGCGCAGGAGGTAATTTCCTATGCAGATTTTGAGTTATAAGTGATTTTGACAAAATGAACAGTTGTTTTAAATTTTTCTGATTGGTAATATTACACTAAGGCAAGATTCATTATTGGCTTATTTTCGTTGATAATCATGTGAGTATAAAATTACATAGTAATTTTTGTTGGCGATCTTGAGATAAGTTATCAATACTGCATATTATGTGACCTGCGATATAGCAGGTTGCAATATTTAACAAAATCCTTTATTTATTATGTTATCCTATCATACTATATTCTGAATCTAACTACTATATTACTAATCTCAAATCTAATTACCCAATTTATCATTTTAATACTATTTGAAAATGAAAAAAACATTGTCTAAAGAAGCTTATAAACTAATAAATGCACTCCAAAAATTTATTCTAAATATTTAGTTAATAGATATATACGATAAAGTGGATAAATGTGATGTTATTACTAATAAACCTGAATTAATTAAAGGATCTAAAAAATATAAACCAAAGCTTTTAATTTATAGTTGACAAATACAAATACACCACAATACCAAACAAATTTAAAAACTACACTAATCTAACTTTGTACCAATTTAACAACAAATTCAAACTCAAATACTAGACATATTAAACACTTGGATCCACTCAAAAAAGCCAGTATGTTGATTTAACGAACTAATTAATTACTATAAAATCTAAGATATAAAAGTATTAAGATCTGCTCTTAATAAATTGAACAGTAGTAAGTTTGTTATTGCGTAAAACTTATGTCTTAATTGTCTTGATCGTTTTTTCAGTCTTAATCTTAATCATCTTGATCGTTTTTTTCAGTCTTTTCCAGTTGACCATTTCTGACATTTAGCACTTACCTATAGTTGTTATAGTAGTAAATAGTAAAGTATTCACTTCTAAGTAAAGTTCGCTGAGTTATTGATTATTTTTACATTGTTAATGTTAGCTCTTGTCCGCACTTATTAATAGTATATTCATAATGATAATAGTTGTCAATGCCTGATATTAACCTAAATATAGTAAATCAACAAACTTTAATACATACGTATAATTTTATTTTTACTATATATAGTATCTAGAGTTTACTACTATATGTTATATAAATTATGGATGACTCCTAACCCACTATTATTTGAGTTATCTAATTAAACTCTCTGATCTAAGTTTTCTATGCCAATCCATCTAATCTCACCTAGAACATATAATACATAAGTTAGTCCAAGTTTCAAGATCATCACGTATCCACCTATAGGACTACTGACATGGTTAACTGATTCATTCTTGAGTGCATTACCTGTTAAAGCAGTCCGGTATCCACTATTACTGTATTATCTAGTCTTCTTTGGTAACTTATACCGAGTCTGAAGACAAGTACTTGCAAGCTGAAGCTGCTATAGTTACCTACTACTGCCTTTATAAAGTTCACTAAACCTTAGCACCCACTATACAGCCAATCTGCCATATACCTATTATCTCAAACTTCCAATCCAGATAGTTCTGAAAAGGCTGTGATCTGCTCTGATCTTCACAGTTGGGTCTTTTTCCTTTGGTTACTCTCCAGTGTCCAGGTTGGTAAAGTGCCTTGACAAACACTTCGGTTCCGTTTGGTTTTCCAGTTTTCTAGTTGATAATTCTTTATATAGTACCATTAAAGATCTGTGCTATCACTCTATTCAGGTCTTGTCAAGTGGGCTTCTATATGCGCTAACTCTAGATTTATACAGCTACTTTACTTAGATTTCATGTAATTTATATATTACACTACTATTTCATGACCTCTCAGTACAAGCTTAAATAACCAGATTACAGATACCAATCTGTCTAATTATACTTATAGTTTGCTATAACACATTCTAAAATTCAAATTTTCATCATTAGTAAGATTCAAACTCTGATCCTGCTACTTGAGATGCAACAACTTCACTACTTCATTAAGTTGCTACACCCTTTTTTATATTTTATTATTTTATTAGTTAGAAAAAATATTATATCTATTAATATTTCAATATTTATTTTTTTTAAACTAGCCTTTTTGGACTTAAGATTTTATTTAAATATTATTAAGTAGAGGCTTGCAACTATTACTTAAAAGAACTTCTTATATTAGAAATTATATATTAGCTACATACATACTTTTGGTATTTATTTTAAATAGTCTAATTATAACTTTTATTATAGGTTCTATACTAGATAATGTATCTGTAATCTAATTATAAGTATTATCTAGTTAAACCCTCTATAATATAACTCTACTTGTTTTACTAATACATTTCTAATATATTAGTTTGTCAAAAGTCTTAGATTTTAATTTATTTTCTTTAGACTACTAGTATAGTTAACTGATTTATTCTTAAAGCATTGTTTGCTAAAGCTTTCTTTATCTATAATCTGGCTAATCTAGACTTCAATAACTTATACTGAGTTTGAGGACAAGTACTTGTAGCCTTTTATTTCTATTATCATTATTTATTTTTGCTTTTATAGAATTTATTCAAACTTTAGTATATATTTTATAGACTATTAACTATATTTTGTCTACTTCAAATTTCTAATTCAGATAGCTCAAAAATGCTGTAACCTGTTTTTAATCTCTATAATTAGATTCTTTTCCTTTATTTACTCATCTAGTAGCTTAGTTAATAAAGTGCTTGCTAAATACTTTAGTTTAATTTAGTTTTTTTAATTTTCTAAATAATAATTTTTTACATAGTACCATAAAAAATCTGTATTACCTCCTATTCAGATTTTGTTAAGCAGGCTTTATATCCTAATTTGTTAGTTTTACTTAGCTGTTTCACTTAAATTTATATAATTTATATATCATACTATTATTTTATAATCTCACAGTACAAGTTAATAATCATATTACAGATGCTGTTTCAATAAGATATAGTCTTCAAAATATAATTTTAAATTCAAATTTAATTACTAATAGAATCTAAACTCTTATTCTGCTACTTGAAGGTGTGACAACTTATCAATTTACTAAGTTGTCACAACCTCATATATGAGTATTAATTTTTTTTAATATTAAGATGCCTTTTTTGTCTTTTTTTTTATTCAATTATTGTTAACTTTTATAGTATATTATATACTATATTATATATATATTTGAAGATTACAAGTAGCTATATATATAACTTTTGATTGTTTATTTAAGTTGTTTGTATACTATATCTATAACTAGATAGGGTTTATCTATTTAAACTCTCTGTGCCTATATATTAATCTTCTAAATAAGCAAAAATATATAGTATTACCTTATTTTCAGTTATCTGACTTAGAACTTTAAAACAGGCTTATATTCTATAAGAAGCTCTTTGTTCTCAAGATAAATTTACTAGAGCTCTCTGTACTTACAATCTGGCTAATTTAGACTTCATTAACTTATGCTGAGTTTGAAAACAAGTATTTGTAAGCTGAAGCCAATACTATTATCTTCTTTTGTACTTGTAGAATTTACCTAAACTCTAGTAGTTACTTTATAAACTATCACTAATATCTAAGTTATATTAGTGCTTTAAACTTCCAATTCAAATAGCCTGGAAGAAATCAGTAACCATTTTTTGTATTCTGATTGCATCTTTTATTTTAGTTATCTGATTGCTTGTTTAATATAGTGTTTTGCCAAATATTTAATTTTTATTTAGTTTTTTACTAGTATTTAAATTTTAATAATAATCCTTTATATAATACTGTTGAAGATTTGTGCTATTTCTTTATTTAGAACTTGCCAAGCAGGCTTCTGTATATCTTGAGTCTTTAGATTTATCCAGCTGCTTTATTTAGATTTTATATAACTCTTATATCATACTATTGTTTTACAGCCTCTTAATTCAAGCTGAAATAACTAAAGTTTTAGATATTAACCTATCAGATTATATATAGTTTGCTATAACAAACTTTATAAATTTAAATTTTATTGTCAGTGAGATTTGAACTCTTGGATGTGCAACAACTTACCAACTACATTAATGTCACACTTTTATATGAGTATTAATATATAATAATAATTATAATAAAGATATATAAATTTAATATAAACTTTAAACTCAAGATCCTTTTCAACTTACAAATTAATTTATTTTAAATTTTAAATTAAATATATAAATCTAAGTTAGTACTCAAATTTATTTTTGTCTAAATTAACTCAATCAGAAATGTTAAAAAGTAATTTTTAAGGCAAAAACTCATTTAGTATTATTATATAAAATTATAGTATTATTTAAAGATATTTAATCTGTCTTTTTTTAAAGCAAAAAAAAATTAATATATACTCTGCACCTTATCTTTTGATTATTTATATTATTTTTGAACATATTTAATTCTTCTTTTTAATTAGTTTTTTGTAAAAAACATTATTATTTTATATTTTTTAGTAATAAACTATTATATTGTATTTTTATAGTATTTTTGTGTTTTTTTGTATTTTTATTATGAAATTATTAATATATTTGGTTTAAACTCAAATAAACTTGTTATTTTTTTTTATTAACTAACCTTTTTGGCATAAGGCTTTTATTCAAATATACTGAGCAGGAGGCTTACAATAGAACCTCAATTATATTAAAAAGTATAAATAGCTATATATGCAACTTTTAATTGTCTATTTACATAGTCTGCATATCAGTATTATACTATAGAGACTACACTATTTGCCATATCTATAATCTAACCAGAAGATTATCTATTTAAAACCTCTATAATATACATATACCTCTTGTATCATCAGAATATCTCTGCTACATTTGTCAGTCAAGAAGTTTTGTACCCACAATCTGGCTAATCTAGTTTTTAATAATT